GTGTGTGTGTGTGAGTGTGTGATTCCCAGTGGTAGAGGAATGGAACATTAACAGGTGGTCAAACCAAAACAGCCGTGTGGTTGGCTTAGTTGGTCAGTGATGTCATGGCCACTGTCTCCCTAACCACACACACACACACTGCTGGTGTGCCACTCATTGTTCTTAGTCACTGTTGTCTTACTAAACAGGAAAACTAAAGCTATTCGGCAGTGCAGAGTTTGCCTTGGTGTCTATCTAATATTACTCTAAAACAAAAACAAAAGTGTATTGTGACTGGAATTACTAAATTGATTGGTATTTTCATCACGCTCAACAACCACGCAACCACGTTTTTTTTTTTTGGACTAAAACAGGCCTGTAGAGAGCTGAAGTGAAACTGGAACATCATTGTGATCGAGATCCAGAAGTAACATAACACAAAATCACATTACATTTGTAATAATAATTATCTGGTGTTAGCAGCCTTTAACAAACACCATTTCCCACAATCTGAAGGCACTACTTTGATACACAGACAGAGGATAGACTGGTCAGTTACCCTGGTCTATATCTGGTTCTAACAACAGCACAACTTTTACTTATTTTAAAGAAAATCCCCAAAACATAAAGAGAGGTGGTGGTAAGGGTGAAACAGTTTTAAAGACAAACTTGTTGCTGCACTGGAAACCCTTCATCTCATCATGATGGATTAAAATACTTATAGCAAATGCCAAAGATACTAACTTCCCTTATATGGTTAGTGAACCCTAGGAACACATTTCACATTTTCATAAAGACCAATTAATGAAGGTTGGGCCTTGAGTCTATATATTTTTAAATATGATTAATTTTGTCTAAACATGACTGTATACATGTGGATGCATATTAGTGGTCAAATATTACAGATGGGACCTTCGAAGTGCAGACTTTGAGGTTTGGTTGTTACTCGAGCATGAAAATGCATGTTAAATATTTTTTGTATAGAGCTGAGTGTGTTACTGGTTGCTGCTCTATTAGGCTCATATGACTGATTCTGTTTATTTCACAGTTCTGACTGTGATTCTTCTGCCAGGAAAGTAATGTCTGGCACCTAAAGTTGGCACTTATTTCCGTCATTCTGCTATTTCTGCCTGTTTTGTGTGAGAGGGCCAACACTGATTGTGTTTAACGGAGGAGGAGAGCGCCTCCTATAGTCTTCAGAAGAAGAGCGCTGGCACTGGCTTATCACAACTCTGTCCTGGAGAATAAAGTGTCTGTCACTGTGGCCCCCATTGGATCACTAGCTCGCTAGTCGACCTGACACTAACGCAGGAGGATGTGTTCCCCTGCTTAACGGCTCCTTGTTTACACGCCGCGCATGTCACGCTACTTCAAAGGTGGAGGAGAGAGCGGCAGAGATGCTCGCATGAAAGGCCTGGTGAGGCGGAGAGGGGGAGGAGATAGAGGATGGAAAAGGCAGATGAAAGACAAGAGCAGAGCCGGCGAGGTGACAGTGTGATGAAGAAGCTGAGACAAACGTGGGCTGGGATGGTAGAAGAAGTTACATACTCTCTCAAGAGAAAATATTATTTTCAAATGATCCTTTATGTTGTCAGTTCTGTTCCTGATTGGACCCCTAGATGTCTCAGATTACCAAGCAGGACAGACCAAGCGATATTAGAAACTTCAGTTTAGTGCAATTTTTATGTAATGATGATGATCAGTGCAGGATTTTTCACAAAATAAGCAAGTTTTTTTTTCCAGCACTACTGAGCTTTCACTTCCCACTCTTCTGCTTAAACAACCCTTGCTGCATACACACATCTGTCCTCTATATCCTGCTAAAGTTATGGTCAACTGGGATAATGGAAATAAGGGTAATGAGTGTTTTTTTTATCATATCAGAACGATATAATTTCTCTATATTTAGTGTTTCGTTTCACTCGGTGTCTGTTGCAGAGTTAATAGATTTAAGAAACTTCAACCAAACATAATAAGGATTTACTGACCTCTTCTGTGATTTTGGAGGAAAGCTCAGTTACATCAGACCTGATTCTGTTCATAAAGATAAATGCATTCACCTGGCCCAAGGTGTGAAGGTTCCCTGTGTGTGTGTGTGTGT